GCTATAGTAACTTATCCTCAGAAACCACTCGTGTTAGAGGAGCATTTAATTTGATTAATTGCCTACAAACCCAGATCTTACCTGGTAATGTTTGTGTCATGATTGTGAAACTAATCCAGGCTCCAAGCTGTTACATTAAAACATAAATGAACAAGTATCTGTGGTTAATCTATTGATTTATGCAGTTGTGGACTTACATGGGTGATTTTAAGGTTTAAATTATTAGAGCAGCTTTAGGAAAGAATATTTTCCAAAATAAATTTAACTTACATTTATAATTCATAAGGAATCTCATAAAAAGTATCATATTTATGAGAAAATTATGTAATTGTAAGATATTTTCTAAAAATTGTAATCCTGATATCTCCCAAGACATTTGATATGATTGTAAAATATTAAATATGGACACATTTTTGTACAACTATTCCTTTATCTGCAAGAAAATTGTGATTGAAATGTTCTATTTTCCTTTTTTTTACTTGAACTGAAATCTATCTCTGTGCTCATATCTATAGATAATACGTATCTGTCACATATATTAATTTACAATACATGTAAACCCATAAGCGCATGTAATTAGCATGTTGTCAAATGAAGTTTAATTATTTACTTACACAAATAGCATACCTCATAGGTGTAGTTAGGACATGAAACCAGGAAAAGTATCCATGTGAAGGGGTTGTAGTTTGGTCTTGGGAAACAGGCATTATTTCCTTTTAGAAGGGATAGGAAAATGTTTATGACACTACATGTTGCCAATTGATCATATACGTATGTTAAATTCCCAAGAACAATCATATACCACATGAAATTCCATCACATATTTATAGCTATCTATTTCATAAATTACTCAAACGTTTCAAGTGCTATGAACTTTTGTGTGTGTGTGTGTGTGTGTGTGTGCAGTTTTTGGCCTGGGCTGGGTTTGAACGCACCACCTCCAGCATATGAGGCCGGCGCCCTACTCCTTTGAGCCACAGGCACCTCCCCATCAAGTGCTATGAACTTTCGACTCAAATAGAATAGCTGTCATTCTCTCACCATAACTATAGCTATTTTTCTGCAACAATACAGAATACACAAGGATAATGAATTCTTTAAAGTTTTAAATAAAATAATATGTGTTTTGTATATCATAATCTTTGCAGCAGTATTACGTACGGAAATTATAAAATGTGTTTTAATAATTACTTGCTCTTTCACATTCTCTCTTAGTGTCTAAGAAGATAATTTGGTTGAGATTATTAAATACCTCAAATCTCCCTTTGTATGAAATTAGTGAAAATAATAGAGAATTTTATAAGGATGTCATTTATATCAGAAAAGTAAGAAAATCCCTTATAAGAGGATTACATCGACTATCCACACAGTTAATATTCTGAAATATCAGAATATAAATTATTTCTGCTCAGCAATCAGGATTTGTATTTACATCAGTCAACATACTCAGCTTATTATCACTTGATTTTTCTTACTTAGTTAAAATTATTAAAATCCCTTCTAAATTTTCCCCAGAAATATTTTAGATGATGGATTTATAATAATATGAAGTTAAACCTTGAACTGTGGCATGTGTGGAAGCACATATGAATTATAACATCGTTGTTTTATTTTTCACAGCCAGATTTAATCTGATAACAAATCAACTAATCTCTTTTAGTTATCCTCTAAAATCATAATAAAATGTCAGCACCGGTGCTCTCTTCGACAGCATGTATACTAAAATTGGAATGATACAGAGAAGATTAGCATGGCCCCTGCACAAGGATGACACGCAAATTCATGAAGCATTCCATATTTAAACAAAAAAAATGTGAGCATGTGGTTTCCAAAATTGTAATTATTATTGAAATATCAAAGGACAAATATTTGTCTGAGTATTAGGCAGAGTCTGTGCACTTTTCATTTTAAGATAAACATGTATGCCTTTTACTATTACTGTTTTTTGAAAGTATTTTGTGAATATCTTTATGTTATGTCGATATGTGAATAAAAGAAAAGATAATTAAGGAATCTACCCAAGTATACTTATATTGAGTTTCAGAGGTGGAAGAGGCCTAAGGAATAATCTGAATGAAGGCTTCCAATTTATAAGTATTAAGTACCGGGGAAAGGTGAACTGATCAATGTTCCACAAATCCATATTTCTTCCAGATGTAGTTTGGAGATTAAATAATAAAAAATGTCTTATGGCAGAGAAAACTATGTGCAAATGCATAATATTTTTTCAAGTGTACAGATTAACTGCTTATTATAATACCATGTCAACTTATGGTTACTGACTTAATTCTCATATTCCCCATGCTGTGTTTTCTCACGTCTAATTAATATCCAATCACATAACTGGTTAATAGCTACTGTAACAGCTGATCGTGAATTTTGTTTGGACATTAGACATAATATCTATGTATAAATAATTTTAATATATTAGTCATGGCCTATGTAGTATTTTAAAAATTACTTGTAAACTTAATTCAGTTAAAACACTTTGTATTTCAAAAGAATGGATAACGTTGATATTAAAATGACTACCTTAAAGGGTTTGTCTAAAATAAATATTGTGGCCTTATATTTAAACTATAGTAGAAAAAAATTTAGATTTAATTCAACTATTTGGGAAAATTGGACATTAAAGGGCAAAAATTGTAGCACATTCTTTGTTTCCAAGTATTGCTATTTTCCTTTTTTAAAAAAGTTTATGGGGCAGCACCTGTGGCTCAGAGGAGTAGGTGGTGGGTTCAAACCCGGCCCCAGCCAAAAACTAAAAACAAAAAGAAAAGAAAAAAAATTAAAGAAGTTTCTGATGTAAGGCTTTTTATAACAATTAGTAACACAATCCATTCTAGAATAGATGAAAAGGAAGAAACGACCAACCTGTGTGACTGGGATGAGACAGCATCACATTGATGAAATGGTTTCCAGCTTCACAAATCTGCAAAACGTTTTAAACCTTTTCAGTGTGACATACCCATTCCTGTATTTTAAAAAAATGTATTCCACAGGTACATAAAATCACCTGGAACATTCATTCCAAAGATGCAAGAGACATTTTTATTCTCATTCTAACAGGAAATTTCACATTATGACAATGAATTTAGCTGTTTGTTGGCATGTATTGAATCAAAATATTTAGTGACAATGAGTTTGAAAATGTTGGAGATGTCCTTGACTGCTTTTGATTACAGGTCAGACTTCCCTGCTAACTGGAGGGTACAGATTATCTGCTTTGTGCTTCTTACCCTGGTCAGGTTCCAGACCATGAACGGACCTGTGTGCTGTGCAGACGGTGCCACTGGTGTATACGACTCAGGTCATTAACATCTTAACAGCCTTTTTAGTACAAGGGTGATAGTTGGACAGATAGCAAGTTTCAGCTCAGTTTAGAAAACCTCCTGTAAGCAGTACACTTGCCTCCTGTCTAAACATGAGCCTTTGATCACGTCCTGTCCACTAGCTGTCCCCTTTAATAAAGAGACTAGGCCATTGTGACTCTTTATGAAGATCAAAGACTCTCCACCACTGGCAGGCACACATAATATTCCCAATTTGTGTCCTGTGAAGGTTCCCTGTGAAAACCCTTCCCTTAGCTCTGATATATCCCTTAATTTAATAGAAACCATGTAAGTCCTGTGCTACTGATAACAAATTTTGCTATTCAAAATCTTTATTGTTTAGTATCATTCAGTGTTTAACTATATTATATCCCAGAAGTTGAGCATTCTTTAATTCAATGCCTTAGGTGTTGTTAATCTCTTAAAATACACCTGATTTTTTCTATTCTGTTCAACCACTTCTGCATGTATTTCTTCAATAGAATAATAGTTCTACAGAGTAATTTCCAGGTGAATCTCATACTGAATACTGGCATATATTTCAACACTTTCTAAATTTTAAAAAAAGAAATAGATTGAAAAAGAAAACATAATCCACTTCTCATCCTCTAGAAATGTTATGCAAACATCTATTTGGACTAATTAATTCCAATTCATTAATTCTTCAGGAGATAATGAAACAAATCCACCAAATATATGAAAATAATATTTGAAGGGTCAGGAAGCAATACAATGACCAATTTTGTACAAAATTAAAATAGCATACTACTAATACAGCAAAGACTTCTGGTTTCTCAAGTTATCTCTAGAAAGACAGAGCTGTATTTTGAATTTTCAGATAATTTTTCATTTGTAATTTTTTTCCACAAGAATGTGGGTAAGATCATGAGCTTAGTAGTTGAAATCAGAGTTTAGTAGTTGAAAACGTCAGAAGAGATATAGACTTGTATGTGAATTGTGGGACTTTATTAATTTAACAAAAGAGAGATTAAAAACATGAATGAAGGATGAAGGTTGGAATTATAGAGCACATCACAGCTAAATAAATACATACCTGTCTAATGGAATTGGTGCATTTCAGAAATAATAAAGAATCTGATATACCCAGGCTGTTTTTATACAATTAGTAAGTGTATTAGAAGGATGCAAAGGACGGGACCAAGAAAAATTTGGAAACAGCTACATTCTCTAAAATAAGCAACCTTTGTGTTCATCCTACATCCAATGCACAATCATGTCAAAGTGTTTCTGGATGTTTATCTGTGAGACTTGTAAAAACTTTTTGCCTTTAAAGATGGTAAATAGGCAAATGTGTACTGTAGGCAAGAAGAAGAATTACTGAGAGTATTTTTTTCAATATTAAATACATTTCAAATAACTCTAATCATCCTTTATAATGATTACATTTGGTTACAAGATTTATAGAGCAAAAGATGTGACTATCCGAAGTTATTTGATCTACCTCATTTTCTATTGTGTTTATGATATAAAGTTAGGCCATATTTTCTACATGACAGGTCCTCATATGCAATGTTTTATATTCTTATTACTATCAAATTAAAGGAGGAATAGCAAATAATAAATATGATACATACCAGAAAACCGACAGCAGATACCAGCACTTGCCTGTTTCCAAATGCTAGCGGGCAGGACAGGAAGATGTCACGTAAATACTCGTGTTTGGATTGTCAAGTATGTAGACATTATTCACGCAGTATTTATTGGATATAAATATCTTATAATCAGCAGGACCATGTGATACATAATTGACCCTTCAGGATAATACTTTTGTAATCTAAAGTACAAATTAATATTAATTATTATCCATTTATTTTTAATATTATTTAATCATTAATATTAATAATATTTTTGCCTTCTGCATGTACTTTTCTTCCAATAACCTGATTATTTAACATACAAATGGAATCTATTGTTAATTTGTACAATTAAACTCTTTGAAGCATGTCTAATCTCTCTCTCATTTTAAAGGTACACTTGGTATGGCCAAGGATATAATGGCACTCTTGAATATCTATTCTTTCTAATAATTAAAAAAGTCAATAATAAGAATTTGTATTTTTGCATTAATGAGTTCTAAAAGGCAGAATTTTAAGTATTTTATATCTTTACTTCAATAACAAATATATGAGGCAAGTATTCTTTTTCTTACATTAAAATAAAAACATAGGTTGTGTATTTTTCTAAGATGACATAAAATATAATGCCCAAGCTCTGTTTAAAACAATGTCTCTGGCCGGGCATGGCAGCTCACGCCTGTAATCCTAGTGCTCTGGGAGGCTGAGGCTGGTAAATTGCCTGAGCTCAGGAGTTCAGACCGGCCTAAATAACAGAGAGACCTGTCTCTGCTAAAAATAGAAAAATGAGTTGGTGCAACAGCACACGCCGGTGGTCCCAGCTACTCGGGAAGCTGAGCCAGGAGGATAGCTGAGCCCAGAAGTCTGAGGTTACAGTGAGCTGTCACGAGGCCACTGCACTCTACCCAGGGTGGCAGAGAAAGACTGTTTCTGAAAAAAAAAAAAAAAAAAAAAAGTGCAATGTCCCTACAGGCACCTAGAAAATGAAGAAGTTAAAATATATAAATATTAAAAATACAATGATGTGATGAGCTCAGCATGTGTTTGCATTTTTCTCTTCCTGCTTTGTGTTACATGTAGGTGAATTGTATTTATTTACACAAACACATTTGCAGATAAAGATTGATGTTATTTACCTCTTCGTTTGAAACTTGCATTTTCACCTAAGAATCTATTTGAAGACTTTCCCCATATTAATATGCATTAAACTTCCATTATCATAACTGTGATAGAATTTGCATAGAAATGTCTGATGTGGCAAACTCTTAAAACACTAAATATTATCAAGTTGTGCAGAATTAGGGCCACTTTGATTCTATGTATGGTCAATAATACTGCTTATCGCATATGTACAAATCTTTTACTGATGTTCTGTTTTGGGGGGGATAGAGATTTAAAAGCGTCTTTCAGTTAAAAGCTATGTAAGTATTTTTGCATGGAAATATGTACATTGAAGGTTATTTCCACTCACCTAAAGAGAATGTAGTTTGAACTATTTTAGCTTTGTGAGCACAGCATTGAATTTTATGTAGTCCATTTTAATTAAAATGACTGAATTCTGACCAAAGGCTTTCAAAGGGAAAGCAGTATGCTCCAAAAGTCTGAAATTTGAAATAATCTTAAGTACATCATTTATCTTCACTTAGTGAAGATAGTGAAGATAGTGAAGATAGTGAAGATAGTGAAGATAGTGAAGATTCACTTAGTAAACTTTGTGAATGCCAGAAATAGACTACAAAATAATTGTCACTTAAATGGGGAACCATTTAATTATTAGACTGTGTTTTGTGTGCCTTATGGGATACAGAAAAAGTTGAGGGGAAAAAATTCCACTTTAAAGAAAAAAATGGAATTCTTGGATCATAATAGACCTTTTATCCAAAAATTAAAAGCTAAACATTTAGGGTTGGTCCAGTTTTCTTCTAAAAAAATTGCTCACCTGAGTCAAAGTCCAACATATTTAATAAATTAAATTATAAGTAGAAACCAATATGTCACAGAAAAATATTACTTCATTTTGTTCCTTGAATATTTAAAAGAGCATGATTTGTTCCTTTCCTTGTTACTTAGTCTTTATTACTTACTTTTAACGTGTCTGATAGCTGAGAAGTACATGATTCTATAATTATATAAAATTTCTCTTCTTGTTGCCTTTTTCATTTTATTGTCTGGACTTTTAAGGATTTACAATAAACTAATATTATTTCCCATAGTAGTTACAGAAGGAAAATAAATCAAAATATACAAGTCAAATTGGTCTTTTAACTCTACATCAATATTTAACAGATAGATAGGAGAGAAATTAGAATTGACACTTTTTATTATTTCCTCATTCCTTTAATTGCTCTATGCTGTTTCTCATCTCTATTGGGTTAAAGCAAGGTTTTGATTTTGGTCCTTCATTTAACTGTGTTAGTTAAGAAGAAACCCACGTACATGGTGGTGTGTACCGGGGGTGGTTGATGTAGTAGGCCATCCACGCAGTGAACCCCCAGTAAAAGGCACAACTCTACAAACAAAACAAAGAAAAGGTTAGGAAGATTGGGGTGCACATGACATCATAGGAAACCACCCCGTCTCTAGTCCCACACTGCACCTTTTCTATGAATAATGACATAAAGTATCTCAGCTGCATAAATGGAATGTTTCTCTGCCCCGTACAGTAGCGTTTTAAAAGGATCATTTTGTTCTCACCAAGGAAATGCAATCCTTTGCTCCACTCTTATTTTTTTTTTTTTTGGGCCGGGGCTTAAGCTATCCCCCTGGGTAGAGTGCTGTGGCATCACAGCTCACAGCAACCTCCAACTCTTGGGCTCAAGTGAGTCTCCTCCCTCCACCTGCCAAGTAGCTGGGACTGCAGGCACCTGCCCCAACGCCTGGCTATTTTTTGGTTGCTGCCATCATTGTTGTTTGGTGGGTCCAGTCTGGATTCTAACCCACCAGCTTAGGTGTATGTGGCTGGCGCTTTAGCCACTTGAGCCACAGGCACCGAGCCTGCTCCACTCTTATTACCGTTACAGGTCAAATGTAATCATATATTTTAGAAAGATTTGTCAAGAAAGCATTTTGTCAACCAAGTAATACATAAGTAAATAAGTTACATTTCATAAAAGATATACTAATATTTTTCTAGGACTAACTGGATAAAAGAATGAAGTATTTAATCATTGGTAGTAGGACATCACGATTGATCAGAAGGGGAAAGGCATGGGTTCAGGGGTCTCAGGCTGTAAGGCTGACCTTGCACGGACATGAGATACTGCAATATGTTCTGTCAAAAGAGAAGTGAGTCTAAATAATGTCTTAGATCTCAGAATTCTAGAGCTTTCTGTATTACCACAGTGGTAACAATAGGATAACTGCCTTGTTGAATTGTACTAGAAAACAGATGTTTTCAAAGATCGAGAAAACTTTAAAGACAGTAATTCCTTCTGAAAATAGATGTTAAATTGAAAGTGCATTAAAATAAATTCTAACTTTAATTAAGAAATGGAAATGCAACGTGTTTTCTAGTGTATTTTTCCACTTCGATGGTTCACAAGTTTTCCCATTTTGTGATCATCCTTTGCTGGTTGATAACTGTTGCATTCATCATACCCAGAAAGGGCAAAGACCCTGGCATCACATGGACAGCTGTCAGAAATATGGACTATCACAGAATCATTTCACACAAATGTAGAATTTGTTTGTCGTACTGTTCATTTGTGAGATCCTTCCTTTGCACATGACACTTAAAGAATCTGAATTCAATGCTATGTATTTCCAAACTTAGAAGGCCCTTGGGAGCATCCAGCTCACTGTGAAACAGAATAAGGTCATAGAAAATCTTTCTATTGGTTAAGTTTGAATGTAGCAGATCACCTAGAAAATGGCATTACAGCACCAGAACGTTTAAGGTATGCCGAGGCAACTGAACAGGAAAATCTAGATGTCAGGGGAAAAAATGTTTACATATTTTGCAAAGGGTCTAATATACAAGATGCCTTCATGACAATTAAAAATATAGACCATGCTGATCCCTACCTTCATCAGATTTTTCAAAGGTGTATGCCCTGCAGAGACTTTGTGAACAAATAAAGTTTCCAAAAGGTATCGGATGTAGTGGACACAGTGGCAGGCACAAGCCAAGCTGGAAAGAAAATCAAACATGAAGTTTAAATTCCCTTTCAAAATCCTGGTTTGCCTTCTGCGTGGACATTTCCAAGTCTTTTTAACTTACTACAATATCCTATTTATTAGAAGGTCTGGTTTCTGGTAACCAAAATAAAAGTGTTTAACATTTTATTCTAGAAATGTTCTAAATTCTTAAGAAGTAACTGTTACAAGAGTCTCTGTAAATTTCCTTCTCATGACACTAGAAATATTTTATAATACCAGTCAAAAACCGCACACACCTGCCCCGAGAGCAGGTGTAAATACAATAATTGACAATGTGTCATATCAAAGTGCCTTCATGGAAGCAATTTACAAGTTTTAAAAATATCCAAAACCTACTTAGAATGCATTTGACATTTTTTAATATTCAGGACGACTCTCTAATTGTTCGGTTGTCCTTTAGCAAGTACCAAGATTGAGAAGGTTTAAATTCCATTTTCTGTGCAATCCCCACACAGCCTTTTATTGTGTTGTGTTCTTGTTTTAAGAACACAGGAGACAGGTTCTGAGTCCCTCTTAGAGAGCCAGGGAACTTGGCATGGTTGAGTCACATATAGAAATCTGCCTTCCATGTGAACTCAGCCTGTAGTTCGAACTCTGTAATGTAATTGAAAGGGATTTTGAAGACCTGACATTGGCATTTAATTCAATTGGATGTGGCAGTAAGATATCAGCCTTCTTAGTCATGAGAAACAGCCGTCCTAAAACTGGGAAGCCTTTCTATCCTTGGTATTAATTTATAAATGCCTGCTAGATGCCTGAATTTCAAAAGCTGTGTGTCTGTATCTGTTCTGAAACTATTTCTTATCAACTTAACATATTGGCTATTTTGGAAAAATGTGGCACAAACACATTTATCACTGAGATGTTTAAAACACGCTGTGTTTGTATTTAAGAATAGTAACCACCTGTCAGTCAATTCCTTTGGCCATGCCACTGGAAAACAATGTTCTCTTTTCATGCAAACGCTGTATATCTGGTAAAAATCACATGTTTAATCTATGAAAGGAGTCCTACTACATTCTCCTTCCAAACTTTCCACCCTGGGAAAAATGCCTGCTTCATTTATAAAGAAAGAAATAGACCTTTATAAATGAAGTGGACATTTCCTTCCCTTAAGAAAAAGAAACATGTGAATATTCTAGAAGGCCCTACAGAATATTCTAGAAGGCCCTACAGAATATTCTAGAAGGCCCTACAGAATATTCTAGAAGGCCCTAGAAAATATTCTAAAAGGTCCTAGGCAACTTGACCTCTTCTGATGAGCCCGTTACCACGGACGGCCAATCTCCCCTCTCCTCTCCATGCCTCGGCTACCCCAGCTGACTCTCTTCTCTTACAATGTACCAAACTGCTTTGGACCACAGATCACTGCCTTCTCCAAATGCCTCATTCATTAATTGAAATTTAACAAACCCCTACAGGAAGCAAAGAAAACAATCTAATGTTACTTTCCTAGACACGCCATCTCAGAACTCCCATCCACGTCAGATTATACTCTTTTATATTCTCAAAGTATCTAACTAAAAGATGGATGCAGTGGTGCCAAAAATAGGTACACACATTTCAAGAAAGGGAAAAAAACGGCATTAAAATTGACCCACTCAATATAGACTGATAATAAAAGACAAATTCAAGTCCTGTTTGAGCATCGCTTATAATGGCGGAAGCCAAATGTGACTTGAGTATTACCATTTTAATGTGTGTTTTTCTTTTCTTAAAATGTGTGTATATTTTTTGGCAGCCTTTATATGGGAGTCCAGAAAGTTTGTGTGCAATTTAAAATTCACAATTATTTAGAATTTGCCATTGTAAATATTATTGACAATAATTTGTAAACACTTACAAAAATGTACAACTATTTTGAATTGCATACAATCTTTATGGATCCCCCTCCCTGTATAGACAATTTGTTCACTGAACTATTCATTATAAACATTTATATGTCTTTTTTAAAATCTGCTGTACACGGGTAATGTGTGAAGCAATGAAATCGACTGCCTGGATGTCACAGTACCTTCACTGTAAAATTTACAGGCTACTGAAGGAAGCTTTCAAACTGATGTCATGTGAGTCTGTAACAAAATCATTTACTAGGATGTTTTGTTACGGGGGGATTAGGAATGGCTACCCCTGAGTAAGAGATATTGAACCTGTGTAATGTGAGATTAGTAGGAGAGGAAGGGAAGAGGGGATGGATGGGCCTGGGGAACGTCATGTCCATGCCACTGAGTAAGAGGGACTTGAATCCATGGACAAGAGGGAAGGTGGACTGGTTAAGAGGGGGGAGGTTGATCTGAGGGGAGAATGTACACAGCTATGATTTAATAAAAAAATTATATAAAAAATTATATAAAATTATATAACAATAAAATTATATTTATATTATAAAATAATATTATATAAAAATTATTATATATAAAAATATTATTATATAAAAAATTATTCTCTAGCTTCCATATGACCAAAATATACAAATTCTGCTTCATAATTCATGTTCAAATTCTTTTTTTTTTTGAGAAACTTCTAACCCTACATTCTAATCTACCATACTGAATAGTTATTCTTTTTCTCTCTCATTTGGCTTTTTTGAGACAGAGTTGGGGAGAGATGAGGCAGAGAGATTAGGTTCCCAATCTGCTAGCTCCCATAGTTACAGAGCATTCTTTGATAACTGCCCTATTCTATTTTTTTCAAAGTGCTGTTTAATTTTGGAACTGTACTTACTAAGGGCAATCTGTAGCACTTTCCCCCTGTTTATTAATTAAGTCATTATTTCTTTCCTATGCAATGCTGTTATTGTGTTTCAGAGTATTTATATCTTGAGTTCTACCCACTTCAACTCTGTCCTATTAAGATTGTTTTAATGATATTTCTGAATGTCCCAATTTCTCTTGTAAATTGTGGTCATTATTTACTTATATTACCTCTACTTCTAGGCATGCCTACTGGTGCCTTGTTTATGAATTTGGAAGCTGGTTTGTATATGCTATTTATGCTCATCTGAAGCACATTTCCACAAAATTGAATCTACTTGAACTGGGTCTACAGACCATCTTCCTTAACACAGTGTTTGCCTGTTGGTTATCTCCTCCTTAACCTGGAAGTAGTGCATGCATCACTTACTGTACCACGGGGTGGCGTGAACTTCTAGCACTCTCTTTCACATCATAGATATATGGGATCCTCAAATAAAAAAGGAGGTATATAAGCAGAGGTCCTGTGTATTCAGCCAAAAATACCTAAAAAATAAGAGGGTGATTTGGATTAAGCAATGCATTTTTATAGATTTTTTGAAGTTTTCTTATAAGTATGAACTTTAATGCACTACATAAGCTGGTGAAATGGACTGGTGAATATCTCCTTTCTTTTAAAAGAATTAGTTTAGGTGCCAATGCAAATATTGTTTTCCCTGAAACAACCAGCCAGAGTTAAAGAGAAAAGATAATACATGAATAATTAAAAATGAAAACAAATATTTAACCTAATAAATAAATTTCTTTAGATACCATATGAAGAAAAGCTTATTTGAGTTTAAAAAAACTATTATGAATATATTATTTACATTTCCCTAACCCTGTATACACCCCATCTTCTATATGAACCGTCCCAATCAGTGAAGAGAATGGGCCATAACTTTATTTTTTTATTTTCTTTTTGCTTTCCATGGCCCAGTCATCTTGAAATCAATTGAATTGACCATGATTCAAATTTAAATTAGTCCTCTCTATTTGAAATTTTATACTTTAATTCTAATGAATTCATTTGTACAGTTAAATGAATTACTTATGATTACTAGAGCTGGTGGTAACCACATGTGTAGATAGAGATGTCTGAACTATAGAGAGACAATGAAGAGATTCAGAATGATAGACCGGGCTCAGTGGCTCATGCCTGTAATCCTAGCACACTGGGTGGTGGAGGTGAGTGGATCACTTGAGCTCAGGAGCAGAGATAAGTCTGAGCAAGAACAAGACCCTGTCTCTACTAAAAATAGAAAGGAAAATTAGCTGAGCATTGTGGCAAGTGCCTGTAGTCCTATCTAGCTACTCAGGAGGCAGAGGCAAGGGGACCATGTGAGCCCAAGAATTTGAGCTATTGTTGTGAGCTATGATGCCATGATAGTCTACCAAGGGCCATAGAGTGAGATTGTGTCTAAAAAAAAAAAAAAAAAGATAATTCAAAACAAAGCTATGTGACTACAGAAAGATTGCTTAGAAGACGAGTTTTAGAATCTGATGACTGCCCATTGTTGGTTTTGTTTCGATGCTAAAACCAGGTTACATATACTTCTTCTGAAATATACAGAGAAGAGAAAATAATTTACTTCTTAGTGTTCAAAGAGAAGATTAAAAAAATATGACACAACAGTAATGAACTTGACCACTTTTACCAACTTTGCTTGCTTTCACCTGTAGTTAGCACTTGTGGAGGTAGAGAACTTGGACATCCACATTTTGCTCAAATATACATTTGTGAATGTCAACTGGGAATTAACGTTCTACCTTTCTGGTGAGAGTTTTGTGGAGCAAGATAGTGAGAATTTGTGATACCTGTGCATGGTTTTACATACATGTATGTGAATATGCATGTGTCTTTGTAGATTTTAACCCATATAGAGGTTTATGCATATGTATAATTACACACACGTATATAGGGTGGGCAAACAGTTTGTGCAATTAAAACAGTGTGCGATTTACAACTGGACACAGACTTTGAGGCCATCACCTGTATAAGCAGTTATCTGTATGTGGAGATTCTCCAGTTATAATTACGCCTTTTAGGAACATATATTATCTCGTGAGCCAAGAAAGATTTGTACGTGAGAATACAAACAGACATTGGATCAATTCATTATAAAGACAACCTCCTGTGAGAAACGGCCTTAACTTATGGTTCAGAGCTCGCCTGATCATCCCAGAATAAAGAGAATGTTTACCGCCTGTGAATGTGTAATGACAGAATGTCAATACTCTGGAATAATGAAGAAGGAGACTTTTTTTTTATGACAAGAGAATGTTTAAAGTATTTATTTCAACAACTCATGATCTAGTAAAGTCAAATGTGAGCAAATTCCCTAGGAATATATCAGGAATGAAAAATGCTAAGAACAGCAGTTAACTTGGACCAACTATCACTCTTTATTAAGTTAATAAAAATACTATTACAGATATAAAGGTTCTTTGGATCAGAGGAAATTAAACTACACTCTTATCTCAATCATCTCTTAAAAATAATTCTGGAGAGGCTATAGCACATAGAAGTATATTTTAGGAGGCCCAATATTTTATTACAAATATTGCTCGGGCTGAAACACGGAGGTTAAGACAGTGCTGAGATATGAAGAATGTATCTCAAAAGCACTGGAGGACGATAATGAGAAATGTGGACAAAGCATCTTTAAGAAAAAAATCTATTTAAGTCCAAACAGAAGAATGAAAGATATTTTATTAAACTTAGAAAGCAATTAGAAAGTAGTTTTAGAGTAAAGAAAACATAGGCTAGATAGACAAATATTAAGACAGCCTTCTGAAAATGAAATCGCTCATCTACCAGGAAAGAAAAAGTAAAAACAGAAATAAAACTGAATAAACAGACAATGTAGACATAGGGCAGCCCAAGAAAATCATAAAAACTGCAAAGAATTGGAACCCCATTTTAATCCAGAATTCTAGTAGAGATTTTAGATTCTAAAAGGTAGAAACAGCTTTTTCTTATTTTGAAGCTATAGCCTATATTTAAGTTCCAATTTATTTCCATTATCAAATTACATTCACGTTTCTTCTTCCTGAAAATTTCCCTCTATTAAACTAATCAGTTGCTTTCAATAACAGATTTATTACTTCTGTGAGCCAAGGAAAGTTCTTGGGCGTATTTGGAATCTTTGTGAAACCCTCAACTTTGTATATGTCTAAATTAAAAAAGGAAGAAGGCAATAATCCGTTTAAAAATCTGAATTGCTGAGGACCATGTGCTTAGAGTGTGCTTAAAACATTTCATGCTGTGCTGGAAAAAAAATTATTAGCACTATCATGATTAAGGTGTTTTTGGATTTACCCTCTTGGTCTCTAAAATTACAATTGGTATTTGGAAATAAAATAGTATATTTCAGAGTTGTTGAAAATTAACAACAAAAATAAAGTAATTCTAATTTTAATTTCCTAAAGATAAAAGAACTAATAAAATAACACTCTGAGAGTATTTCCCAGTGGTAATATATTAATGTCACTTTGTACCTTATGAGTACTAGAGGGTCCCCAAAGTCATCCCTAATGTGGCCATACATAGGAAAAAATGGAAAATTATAGCTAAATGTACCTTTATGTACAAAATACTCATTACAAAATTTTACAAGCAGGTGGCTTGTAATTTTAATTTTAAATATTTTTTTTAAATTGTGGACTGAATATTTTGTAAATAAAAGTTCAGATAGCAACAATCCCTCATTTTCTGTGTATGTTACCTCTTTAGGGGAAAATTTTGGACCCCTGTATAGAAGTTAGCATCCTACTAGATAAAGACTGTTTTCATTTTTTTTTTATAGCTTACTAAGAAATAAATACAATAAAGAACTCTGTTCATTCCAATACAGCGTACTAATGGGCCCAGGGAGAAAAACTGATTGAACTATTTTTTAGCAAATATTTTCAGCATTTGGAGCATTTCTGCTGGTGAAGAATTAGAAGGTTGATATTGTTGAGAGGTTGAACCCGGAACCTGACAAAGCCTGAAATACCTTCAAGCAAAAGTATGTGGCTATCACATTTAAATACAGTATTAGGGGCAGCGCCTGTGGCTCAAGGAGTAGGGCACTGGCCCCATATGCCAGAGGTGGTGGGTTCACACCCAGCCCCGGGCAAAAAACTGCAAAAAAAAAATAACAAAATAATAAATAAATAAATAAATAAATACAGTATTAAAAACTTAGTTTACACAATGCAGGTACCATAGGTTGTGTTTAAGCATTATAAAATACCTTAGGGTAATGCAGAAGTTTCTAAACTCAGTTTAGCACAAGTTAGTACTCAAGCACTCATGAACTTGTGAAACTGAATGACTATTTAACTAGAAAACTCCTTAAAAAGAGAAAAAATACTGAAGTAAATATGCCTCAAAAGGAATGATTATTAAAGAAAAAGTAATGTATGTGGCCATATGTTAATTAGTAAGGTTGAATTTCCCTTTTAGAGAATTAAGTACTAATGTATACGTTAGCCAACCTAATGTAATGTAATAATTTTTATCATTGGTTGTTTGACGGCCAAGGACAAGTTCAAAGCTCTATAACGGTGATGTGGACAATTCTGGCAGAAAGAGAAGCCCTTACGAATTGAAAATATTAAACGTAGTCGTCACAGACACGGAGTGAAATGTGATTGGAAAAAATGTCATAGTTTAAACAACGCACAGAAAAGAAGTTAGATTTAACTCAAAGAATGAGAATGTACTATGCATTGTGTATCAGTGTCAAATTTATTTATTAGATTAATGATTTCATTATATCGTTAATAAATATCATATTCAACTTGCTGCAGAAGCCTGTCCCATTGATTTATTTTATTACTCAATAATGGAATAAAGTATCGAGCGATCCATTCCTTGCGAACTAGTACCAAGTATTTTCACTTCCTCTTACACCTCTGTATCTTCTAATGGTGATTCTCATTCTTCTAATACTGTGGGATTCAGATGTTTTGAAAATGCACTCAAAACAGAGATCTCTAATTTCCCTCCAAAAAGAGTCCAAAGGACTCCTTCAGAAATGGAAAGTCTTGCTTTTTAACAGTCAGAATTTCCAAAACTTTCCCCTTCTGCCTGAGAATGCTTCTTCCTGTGGATTTATTCCATCCTATGTCTTTCCAATGTCAAGGCAGGGGTCCTCGAACTTTTTAAACAGGGGGCCTGTTCACTGTCCCTCAGACTGTTGGAGGGCCGGACTGCGGGCCCCAGGACGAGTTGGCTGCTAAGCAGGACAGGTGGCGGTGGCAAAAACACCCTGTGGCCAGATAAATGTCCTGGGCAGGCCACATGTGGCCCTCAGGCCGTAGTCTGAGGATACCTGGAAAGAGGTTCTATGACTTCCCTAGCATACTCGAAGAAAAACATAAACAGACATCATTTAATAAAAAATGATTATGAAAAGCACAGATGAATTCCTCATTCCCAGGGTGGAATGAAATTTAAAAATGAAATTCATCTTGCCCTTTCTTAACTGAGGATGTCTATTGTTCCATTCTTGCATAGAATTTTGCCCACTAATGACAGTGAGCTCTGAAAATTGCAAACATTGCTCGGTGTGATATTTTATTCCACTGGGAATTGACTTGAAAGAAACTGTCAACAAATTGTTTCAAATGAAATGTGGGGCGTGTACATTGCATTTCAAGGGGACACCTACTGTGATCCAGGGGACCTGCTGGCCCAGGTCTGTGAAGTAGAGGGTGAGGATGGAGGAGCCTGCAACGCTGTGGACGGTGACAGAGTCCCTCAGAAAAGGCCCACCTGGAATAAGGATCACAAGGAAAATGGTGATGGAACGAAATTTCAAGGCTTAATGCGAAATCAGAGAAACCTAAAGATCAATTTTATATAGAAATTATAATGCATGCACAATCTATCTTCCAAGTAAAATAAAATGTGAACAAACCCATCGTATAGCATGTTCTTGGCAACTTGCTTGAGCTCAGGAGTTTGAGACCAGCTTGAGCAAGAGTGAAGCCCAATCTCCATTACAAACAGAAGTTAGCTGGGCATAATGGCAGGTGCCTGTAGTCCCAGGGACTCACAGGAGGCTGAGACAAGGAGATGGCTTGAGCCCAGAAGTTTGAGGTTGCTGTGAGCTATGATGATGCCAGGGCACCCTCCCCAGGGTCTGAGTGAGACTCTGTCTCAATAAATAAATTAAATTAAATTAAATTAAATTAAATTAAAAGAGCTAAGCAGTATTCCTGAGAATATACTGGTATGCACTAGAATAAGGGATTTAAACTGTTTTTAACGGTTTATAAACAGAAAGATGTTAGTTCAGATCCTGCCTCCAAAACACCTAGTGTGAATCATTGAACAATATCCTTTGAGACTGAAATTCTTCATCTGTAAAAGCAGAGCACTAGTTGGTTGGGCGAATCGAATTTGTACACTGGCTAAGTGATAAATAAACGTCAGCTGGTGATCACAGAGGAGGGACGCTAAGTTAAACAAACAGGTGGAAATTGCCTCTTACCGCATTCTAGCTGCAGACCAATCTGGGAAGGGCACCACTTTGGACCTGTCCAATTCAAAAAAAAAAAATTGTCAGAGAAATTGTAAGTATAGTTTATAAAGCTAATAATCACCTGAGGCAGACAGATTGGATCTTGGGAAGTGAACCAAATGGCCATTCAGTGTTCAGAAACACTAACGGTGACGCCCTTAGCAGGGCGCTGACCTGCCGTGGTGGACAGTCCTGAGAGGAAGCGGAGGGGATGGGAGAGTGGTGCGTCCTGCCTCGTGACCTTGCACTGTTTAGAAGGAGGTTTCGGGAACAATTACCAAACTCTGTGACCTAGGACGTCTGCACTTTACTCAGTGTGAGTTATTCTTGAACAGTAAGATTAAACATAGTCAAATTAAATTGGAGACTTTTGGTCTTACATAAAATTTATCTGATATTAGCACCTAAGAGTGGGTTGTTTTCTCTGCTGGGTGTAAAGAACTCTATCTGAGAGATAAGTTCCATTGACTTCTAATATTCTGAGTATTGATCATGGCAGAAACATCACTTAACTTTGTTCTCTTTATATTTTCAGCAAACTGGTTATCATAGCCTTCATGGCATTTTCTTAGTTATTGTGTTAAGACATTTATATTCTACATTTACTAAGTTTCGCATGTACCCTCGTAAGATGCACTGTACAAACTCTTTGATAATCCATTTATATTTTACAAAAAGTAATCGAGTACCTATGATGGGTGTATAATGTGTATATGTGTATTTATATATATATATATGCTCTCAAATTCTCTCATGTGTATATATACATATATACATGTATATATATAAGCTCCCAAATTCTGTCCATTTAAATAATATTTGTGTAAGATATCATTTTAAATAACACTTTGTGAATTCCTTTGACCTTGAAAATGCAACAGCAAAACTGTCATTCTAAATAAATGAAGTAGCCAATCAACCAGGTGGGTGAACGCTGACATCTTCAGATGCTTACTGAGGTAGGTGGATTAGCCTGGAACTAATGGCAGAAAATGTTTATAAGTCACAAAGGACAGACAGACATTCCACAGGGACCCTTACATGTCTGAATAGCCTAGGAAGTGACTGATGATGTCGAGAATATTGGCTCCCAACTGAATCAGGTCCGTGCAGAAGCTCCAGTGATAATGGCATTATCTTATATCACCGAAAATATTGAATTCGATTTTTGTAATTTCTATCCTATTCTTACTTAATAATCGAGAGTATCTCTATTACCAAATGATAGCATTCTAAGTAAGTAATACTTTGCAGTAATTCGATAATATTGATTTCAATAAGTTAGTTATCTCCAAAAACATATTTCAAAGTTTGATACATGCACACAGGGACATATATGTGTCATTATATTGTAGTTTCATTTTAAAAGGCAAAAATGTTTCAAAGGGCGTACGGGTGAATGCGTGTGCAGATGTTCATATGAAAGAGTCATTAATACTTTAGAATTTTATCAGGAATAATAAAGCATAACATAAAATGTATACAAAAAGAGAATGGCATTCATTGTAGGGGGTGTGTAAGGATGAAGAAGGGCCTTACGCATGGCTCTACGTGGGTTGTAAGTTAGGAAAGTGTTGATTAAAAAAAATTGAAAAGGAAATATCTAAATTGAAGAAAAATAATAATGTGATACATAATTAATATACAATGTGCACAGTAGCATATAAGAGAATAGAAATTCTGAAAATCTATTATATTTTAAATGTGTGAATTATAATTTTTTGAAAATGCTTTTATTTTTCCTGAAACATTGATTTGGCGTCCATCGGACAGGCAGCTGACGGATTTCCTTTACTATGCAGAGTTCGGGAGAGGAGTCATATAGCTCAGTTTCACTGTCTCCCCTGGACACATTTGTTAGAATTTCCTTAATGACCAGCGTCAACACTACCAGGTGTTGTTAACAGATCTAAATCTTGAAACCTATATGTACTATGATAATAAAGTGACAGTATTTCTGCTCACTAATAAAAGGGTTTTGTCAGACAACCTGACTAAAGTGCCTACAAAAATCTTAGACTGACCACTCAGTCACCGTAGCTTTTGCAAAATGTAATCATACCTTCTACCAAAGAATAATATGGATAGCTTATCAATTGACCCCATTTCTCCATCTAAATTGTTGACAAAGCTCTATTTTTCTTTCTGAATCCACCATTACAGAAAGAAACACTTGCTACTTCTGGAGTAGGAAGTCCTGGACTTTTCTGGGAGAAATCAAAGCATTCTGCCCCTTCTTCCATTAGTTGCATTCATCATTTTTTGAGCTTCCTTTGTTGAGAACTCGGGGAATTCCACAGCCCTGTCCAGGAGGCGCCTCCCCCACTGCCTGAAGAGACCCCATTATTCTCTGCTATACGCAATAAATCCTGCTGCTCCGTTATCTTTGTCCTGAGTTACTCTCCTTGAATCTCTCAAAGCTTAGAATTATTTATATCTCCCCAGCCTTTTGGCAAAGATTTATATGCATTGCAACTGTCACAATAAATGGTACATCCCTTCATGTACCTGAAGCTGCGACAGGCCTGCTAATTCTGTTCCTCTTTGCTTTTTTTTCCTGTGGCTCTTTCTGGAAACTGGGAGACAATCACCCCAACAGATGATAAATAGCACTGAAACTTTTGATGGTTCTGTCATTAACAGATAACACAGAGTCCTGGGTAGAAGGGTAAAAGGATCAAATGATCCCCTCCCCCATTTTTACAGGAATTTCTTTTACGACACAGAATCAGTGTGCGAATGACACTCCAGATGTTTCTCACTCATCGACTTTTCCTACAGTTCATGTCCAACTGTTACTGGTTCTGAGATCGATTTTGCAAGAAAGAATATTCCAGTAGCAATTTCTATTTTTTTTGCAGTTTTTGGCCGGGGCTGGGTTTGAACCCGCCACCTCTGGCATATGGGGCCGGCGCCCTACTCCTTTGAGCCACAGGCACCGCCCTCCACTAGCAATTTCATTCCACATGTGCATTGTTCTATTTTACATATATTAACTGTGGTTTTTAATTCAGTGGTTTTCCTTAAACTGGGATTTAAATGATTATAACCAGTTGTAAACTATGTTTGGGGATTAACCGGTATTACTCAATGTATTGTTTCCAAAACAAAGTTTAGAGTTTCCTAACCCTTATCAAGTAAAATATACAAGTCTTGTTGGAACTTTTCTCTGAATAAATTTAAAATAAAATTATGGTTCATTAAAATAGAGGCAATGGAAGTTAGTGCTTACAGTACAGGGCACAGAGTCCTGGTGCCTGAGTTTAAATTCCAGCCCTTACACACATTAGCTGTGACCTTGAGTGAGTTATGTAACCTCTCTTTAAAGACTTTCATTTATAATGTGAAAATTATAATAGTATTTAAATTATCATATAATTGTGATGACTAGTTTACAACAACTTTGTATTTTCAAGAGGACTATTTTGAGATAGTATTTAGAACTATCTCATTTAGGGACTGACAAAACTATGTTTATTATTATTATTATTATAAATGTTAAGGAAAAGTAGCTAGAAACTATAAGCACAGTATTTAATTGTATGCGCTCAAGTCTGAGGGTTTTTTTTTTAATTATATAAAAATGGGAGTACAGATTGGAGGATTCAGGGAAATTCTCACAGAGACCAAAACTGTGTATGTCTTGATCATTAAGTAAGATTTTAAAGAGAGAAATATGGTTCCAGTGGCATAAAAAGACATTCACAAACACCGAGGAACAAACAGGAGTCTCCGCGTAAGAGATGATGTGGGTACCTAGTGATTCAGGTGCCCACAACACCCAGGAAAAAAACATAAGCTGGTGCTGTAACATTGACAGAAAATCAGAAATTTAACAAACAGAAACTCATTTGGAGATGGAATAAAGATGTTAAATGTCAAGGGATGATTTTGTGAAGATAAACCTCGCAGGCTTTGGAAGTGGATTCTCTAATGAACACCGATTTTACCAGCCCAAGGATAATAATGGAAGCTAAGAGAGAGAGTTTCTGAGATACGATGTCTGAAAAACTCAGGGCTACTAAAAATTTCCTGGAGACATCTAGATAAGAGGAGGGCAGGATACAAGAACAATAATAAGACAAATGTCAAAAGAAAAGTGTCTTCCTTTTCATAGTTTTGCCTCCTTATAAGGCCTCCAGTCATCTTAAACACAAATATTTTTATCAATATTGACAAAATATGTCACTATTCTATAGAAAATCAGTGAGGGGGGACATGGTTATAAGAGGGTCTTTACCTAACAAATGCAATCAGTGTAACCTAATTCTTCGTACCCTCAATGAATACCAAATGAAAAAAAAAAAAAAGAAAATCAATCAGCAGAAAATTTCACATACCCTCATTGTGATTTCACATGGTGTAATTTCTGACGGCTTTCCCAATTTAATCTTTAATCATCCTAAATAGTGTTGATAATTTTAAAAGAGACATGAGCTATAACTACTAAAAACATTGACTACTTAATAAGTGTTGAAATGGTACTAAAACTGTCTTCTCAATTAAGGATCTATGAGATTTAAGAGGAATTATCTAGAAAGAAAATGATTCACTGATCTGAATCAAAATATCATATAATTTCTAATGTTTCCTTTGTATAAGCTTTGATGTAAGCTTCGAAAATACATTTTGAAATGCATTGGAAAATATTTAGTAAAAGGCATAAGATTTTCTACGGTATAAAGATTGAATTTCATTCGATGTTCTGTCTACATTCATTGTCTTTTTCTATCTCACCCAGCTTTAGAACTGTGATTTCACTTATAATTATGATACTTGTCCCCACTAAACAGTTACAGAAGTGACCCTTCATTAAAATTAGTTGGTGGCGGTTTCTTTTTAGAGATCATATGTACATTTATGATATTTGGTATACCATTTGGAACACCTTAATCTTGT